ATTTGTTTCCCACTGTTGCTAAATCCACAACTTCCATAATATCTACGAACAAGTTAAATTCCTCCATTTTAATCCCAAATTTTCTACTCCTCACCCTCTTCTCTTCATGCAACTTTATAGTGTTCAAGTCTCCCCCAATCAACCAATTACCATACGGAAATTTTGATCTAATGTCAGGGACGAAGCTAGGTTAGGCTAATTGGGGGCACTTGCCCCCACTAATTTATTTATTTTGTATTAAACAATTAACTATTTTAGTTTTATTTTTCTTAAAAATTAAATATCACCCCATAAAATAAATTAATTAACTTTAATTATAAATAGTTAAATCAAAAATAATTTAAAAGAGAAGTTGATAAAATATTATTTGACCACATACACATAAATATACATGTAATAATATTGAGAAAAAATAATAATTATTCTAAATATCTAGCTTAAAGATTAATTTGTTGTTTGAATAATTATATTTTATTTTTTTCAATTTTTTTGATGTAGTACTCTAATGGTAACAATAATTAAATTCACAAGACAAACATATATATATATATATATATATATATATATATATATATATATATATATATATATATATATATATATATATATATATATTAATAAATTTTTATGCAAAAATTTTTAATATGCGGTATATAATATTTAAAATATGTGTACTTTCTTCTTCACTTTTCTATTTTTCTATGTTTTAAAATAATTATCTCTTAAAAATATGATATAATATTTATTATTATTTTTCTATTACTATTTTTATTGTTTATTAACTTTAATTTAATTTAACTATGTTATTTACTACAATGAATAAACGTATTCTGGAAAATAACATTGGTTTTTTTTATTAAAATTAATATATATAATTAGTTTTCTAATTTTTATGAGATGAAGGAATGTCATGCCCCACTAATTAATATTTTTGGATCCGTCCCTGTTTAATGTCAATAAGATCAGCCCATAGTTTACGTTTCTCAGCCAAAGCATAAGGAGAGTAAACATTGACGATATAAACATTAATCCCTCTATACGACACAAGCATACCCAAGCACCCAATTCCACTGAAGCTGAATATAGGAACACAACAATTTTTCCTCCATATTGTGATTATTCCACCAGATTGTCCTATAGCATTTAATGACGACCAATCACTGTTTTCACTCCCCCAAAGACTACACACAATTTTGTCACTCGTACACTTACATTTGGATTCTTGTATAAAACATAAGTCTGCCTCACCTTCTGATACAATATCTTTGAATCTCCTTAATTTCACAGAATTTCCACTCCCACGTATGTTGAATGTAAGCACATTCATGGAATAATCACTGCAACCTCCTTGGATTCTTCATAAGCTTTTCTGTCTCGAGCTTCCATACTTCTGACCACACATTCAAAATACTCATCATCTTCCTCACCCTCAACCCCCATCTTTTTAACCGTTTGCCATACTTTACTGGGAGCATCTTCCAACGAATTTCTAATTCTAGCATTTCCATGATTCACATCCAAATCGTTAATAGATTCATAGTACAATACCGACCCACAAGAGTACCTCGAATTCGAGTCCTCCACCGCCATGATAAGAACAGAAACACAATAGGAAAGATGGTTAGATTAGTTGTTACTACACTAGATAATCTTAGATGAATGAATGAGACGAGAGTAATAAGAAAGGGAAAAAGGGACTCTGATGCTTTGATAAATTTCGTTAATGAGTTTCTTTTTCCTGGGCTTTAGTCCACCAACAATAATATCCACCCCAGTGGGCAAGTTTGTTATGGGGTCAGACATACCATGATCCAAGTCCACTAAGCCCAAAAAGATTAAAGCCCAATCTAGATTCTCCCCACCTACATTGTGAAAAGTATTTTTGTTCCCATCTGATACACATGGCAGACTAGACACCTGTTCGACAAGCATTAGGTCGTGAGTAGATGCATTTAATGACTCTGCAACATTCCCATCCTCATTCAATAAATTGTCTATTTCACACCCTCCAAAAGTACCCTTTTTTGCTGACACCTCGCCTTTTTCAATTCCTACCATCACCGACCCTTCGAATTCCGGCCCAATACTCACCTTATTGAATTTTTCCATGTTATGAGCAAACCCCGGGTCACTCTGAAAATGGCAGGCAGGATTAGGGGACTGCCTAGACTCTGGTACATTCGAATCACCATCCCCAACTTCCTCATCTTCGTTATATTCCCACGCGTCACCCCCTTCATCACTATTTTTTTCAGAATCATCGACCTCCGATGTAAAATGTTTTTATGTTTCTTTGCTACAACAATGTATTTCGGCCCTTGCATATCTTCCACAAGTTTCACCATATAAATGTTTTTGTTAATCTCGACGTTAAAAGTTTCGTTGAGATTCAAGGAGTATTTCGTTCTAATAAAAAATATGGCAATGTCCATTTTCGAATGTCTTTCCATTTCAGGGAAACAGTAAACAAAGATTCTTACATGACTCGAAACAAATTTGAAGAAATTGGTGCACCAAGCGTGGCAAGGAAGTCCATACATCTGAGCCACGTGAGCCTCTCGTTATCTACGTTTGAAGGCGACCATAGATGGATGTCATTGAACCATTTTGAAACCCAGGCTTTATCCTCGTTTATTAAGGCTTGAACATCACTATTGTCGGGTTTCTCCAGTAAACACAAGTTCGCGTCAAACGGAGTAGCGAGAATGCTAAAGTATCCAGTTGCTTGTAAAGCATTTTGAATCTAATATGTGGTTCCTGGTATAGACATTATCCTCACAAACACTTTCTTAAAACGAATTAATTCCTCCTTGAGAATGTTGAACTGGATATGAGCGAAGGAAGGTTTAGGTTCCTGTAGGTTCTTCCTAACAGACACATTGTTTATCCTTCCACCTCCCACTTCTATCTTACTAACATTCTCAGTCGCATGCTTCTTGGTGACTTGTGCATAGGATTTAGCCATGTTAGAGTTAAATCTCAAGTCAGCTACATGATTTAGTTTAGGTTTCGAGATTCCGCTACCCAACATTTCATCAGTACTCTTATCCAACCCATTACCTCTTTGAAAACGAGGAATGTTTGCATGAATTTTCTTGTCGTTGATTTGAATACTATCTAGTTTTGTCGCCATCGTTCTTACATTTCCCACCTTTCTGAATCGAACAAACGCGTATCGCCTACCACGCTTATCTCGTCTAGATGGAATAAACACTTCTTCCACTAGACTGAATTCCTTGAACAAGTTGAAACAGTCCTTTGCATCACAATCTTCTGAGAATTCTCTAAAGAAAAATGAAACCACATGGCCATTCCCCTCAACATTCTTACCTTGATTTGCAGTCTAAATAGACATTTTGTCCCTCACTCCTCTTGTTACTTTATGTTTTACCTTCACTCACCCTTCCTTTTCCATGTTCATCATCATTGCAGTCAATTTTAGTTTCAAAAGAAATGAATACGATAAAGAAAATAACAGTAACAAAAACACCAGAAGCAATACCAATAATACCAGAAGAATCCACACCAATGAGATCCCTAATCCGAAGATTAGGAGTTTAAATCCCATAAGTAAGAAGATCCATAGTGGTTACTGTATCATTTCGATTTTTTTGACTTAAGCAATAAGTTGACTTATACAACTACATACTATAACATGTTTCGACTACAGTACGCACATCTTTAACTCCTGCATAATTAAGCAGACTTCGACTACAACATATATACATCAGTCGAAACTAAAATTAATTTCAAAGTAACACAATTTTTAACCAACTTAATTTTGACATATTTTCTTTACCATTTGCCATTTTAGTCGAGTCACATTTTAGCCTCTGATGACTGGATTGACATGAAATCATCATTCACCGACGAGCCCCAACTATTATAAACCCAAATAAAACCGTCGCGTTGCCAACTTGTTTGAGGAGCTCAATATTCCACCGCTTCTCATAATAGAATAATATTACATATATTATTATTATTTTTTTTAAAAAGAAGATATTATTATACTAAGAATCATAATATTTTTAACATCTCTTAACTATTTTCACTCATAAATCATAATATTTTTAACATCTCTTAACTATTTTCACTCATAAATCATAATATAATATGATTAAGCACTAAGAATGATTGATTCTTCCACAAAAGAAAAAAGTATTCACAAAAGAAAAAGTATTCATTTAATAAATAAAAAACTATTGCACTTACTAAAATAATATAAAAACACTGTAGCAATCGTATTCATTCATCCCCTCAGCTACGTTACAAATTGGAACACCCAAGGAAATGATATAGATCCATTAGAGGTCAACATAAAAAATCAATACAACACCTCACTCCTAAAGTTTTGTTTATGAATTTTTATGAAAAAAATTTACACATTGTCAAAATAATAATTATATCATATGTACATTAAAGTCATATATCTACATATTTAAATATGAAAAGAAAACCTCAAAAAGATCAAAACCCATACTAATATTGGTTATAATTAGCTTAATGTTTGAGTCATATGATGATTCCCCATTAAGAAAAATTCCAAAAACAAAAGTGGGCAGGATAAGATCCTAATTGCCTTGGCTGCATGCATATTAATTATTATCAAACGACACAAGATATTATAAATATTACTATCAATGTCAAAAGGTTTAAGAAAATTTTGGCTACATATGACAAGTCCAAACAAAATGATATTGGAATTCATACTAGAGTTGATAGAACGCACCTCCTCTAAAAGTCACATATAACCCCCATTATTAAATTGTGTAGCATACTAATAGATTCAATATTTTAAATTTGGTAGAATATAAGAATATTACCCATAATTATAAAATTAATTTTGCAATCTATAACCAAAATTTGAATTTTTCTCAACAACAATTACCACTGTATTATTATCACAATTTACAAATATACACATGTAATCATACTATAAAATCATGAATCATACTTTACAAATTACTATAAGAATCCAGGTTCGAATATTCAGATAACCTTTAAACATCTCTAGGGTCCACGAAAATGGAAATTCCGGGCACGGATTTAGTCCAATCCCCAATAAAATCATTACTATAATCCTCCACGAGTCTTTTAATGCACCATAAATCCTCTGCGCAAGATAGCATTTTCCAGTGAGGTATTCCAAACCTAAATGGTTCACACGAAGCAACCTCAGTAGCCACAACCCCACACCCACATTCCATAGCAATATTATGTGCAAACCCACATAAAGCCCGAACCATCTTACCCACCTTTGGGCCTTCCCCACCAAGCCCATACAAAAAATGAAACCCAAACGGCCTAAACAAATCCGGAACTGAAGGCACCTTCAACCACGGAAAAGCCCGATCCAAAACCCGCGTTGTCTTAGCAAAAACCCGTTTCACACGCGACGCGCCACGTACCTCGAGCTTAAAAACCTCCTTCGAATTCCAAACACTTAAAACGGCCCAAGAACAAGGTGGGCCCAAAAGAAACCTTACTGGGCCCGGCCAGTTTTCAACACTGTAGGACCCACAAGGTACGGCAAGAAAAGTACCGAGACTGAGTTTATTATAAACAACTGAGTCAATGTCGCGAGGGAAAAACTCGGTGGTGGAAAAACGGTTACGATAGAGAATAACGGCGTGTGAAGGAGTTAACGGAATGATAGTAACTTTTCGTGAAATTTTAATTCTGTGAGCGTAAACGGGGTTAACGAGGATTGACGGCGTACGGAACTTTGAATAACCGCATTTCTCTGTGAAGAGTTTAACGGACGCTAAATTTTCACTTTCCGTTGCCATGTATGAATATTCAGCGCCGTTATCTTTAAACCACGCTTCCATTTTCTTTACCAGCTTCAACCCTATTCCCATTCTCCTGCACCATTAAAAAATAAACTCTAGTTAATTATTAATTAAACAGTATAAATAACATTAATTAATTAGTATTAATGATAATAATGATGATATTAATATAATACCGTTGATTAGGAGAAACTCGAAGGCCTAATATGTAAGCGAGTTTGGTGTAAACTGGGATTTGTTTAGTGAGAGATGTTTTTGATCTTGAGAGGCTTTTACCGCATGTGACTGTTTTGATGCATCCTCTTATCATTCCAACTATCTCTTCACCAATTTCAGCAACCTGTTCGAACCATACTAATAATCTATGAATCACATACACATGAAACAACACTGACATTGACACTGACACGTCGGTAAATAATCAAATGTATTATTATGAATGGAATAGTGAAGTGAATTGAAAGTGAATGATTAGAGGTTTATATACCAGCATGAGGAAGGAAGGTGAGTTACGGAGTCTGCAAATGGGGTCACCTAGCATGTCGGTGAAGAGAGAAAGTTTGTTAGTGGGACCAACTTCACATGTGTTTTCAAGTGTTACTACTCTTTCTGTGTCTTTGTTAACTTGGAACTCTCTAACAACCACACTAATGGATTCATTATGATTAGACATATTTGTTAGAAGAAAATAGAAAGAAATGGTGAGTGATGCTGGGTATGCGAGGGAATGGGAATATATGAGACTGAAAGAAGAAGCAAGGGTCAAGTAAGTAACATACGCGACGATAAGTTTGCACTAATTTGGAAGATATCTAGTCTGTTATATAAATAACAAGAGAAAATAAGAAGTGAGGACGACGGAGAGAGAATAAGACAATGATAGGTATTAAGTGCTATTTATTAATTATATACTCTCTGTCTCATTAAAAATATTTATATTTAGTTTTAAGAAAATTGTTTTGGCAAGTCAATTATAGGTAGAACTTTATCAAATATCCACAAATGATCCTAGCTATTCGAGTACGAACTTCTCTTAGGCTTAATTGGAAGATCTTTCGAGTCATTTGATGAGTAGATGAATACGGTTTTAACCATATCTATACCTTCCACCACACGCCATGACTCTTATTATCTCACTTTCATTCTTATAAATTGTATTTTTTTACTTCATTGATTTAGGTGTTGGAATACTAACGTTATAGATTTACTACAGTTCTACCGCATCAGAAACTCTTACTACCGCACCAGAAGATCTTACTCCTTTTAAACAATCCAATTCTCGTTCTACCACAAAACAATGTCGTTGTTCACAAATGAAACATCCAACACTAGGAAAAGTGGCATCAATCCCATCTTGGAGAGTGAAGTCGGACTGACGGTCGAGGTATTCTTGCGTTTGAGTTCACTTCCCCAATAAACAAGCATAGTATGAGGCATTCATTGTTTGTCTCACGTTGGCATCCGAGATGAGAGTAGAGGAGATCAAGTTGCGAACATACTCGTAACTAGTAGTATCTCAAGTTTAGGGAGAAGCACAAACAAAAGATCCACTACTACAAAAATATGTAGTTGTGGAAAGATAAAGGTTGGTCAGGTTCAAGTCATATTAGATCGTGCATGCCCAAAGAGAACGGAACACCAAGGCAGATATCTTGTCCAAGCTTACAAGCATAGGGACTTCAGAAATCACCCACTTCTTTATACAGGAAACCTTGGGAAGGCCTAACATCGATACTCCCAAATTAAAATAGTAGAGGCAATGATATATGGTATCTCAAAGTCTTCTTGTATATCACAAATTATGGCATACATCAAACTTGGTGTACTACCTGAAAACCCCGTTGATGTTAGTCTCATGAAGATAAGGTCAGGCTCATATTCCATCTTATGATGGATGTTGTATAAAAAAAAACTTTTCTCCCCTTCTACTAAAATGTTTCGAGGAAGAAGAAGCCACATATACACCCGTTGAAGTACATGATGGTATCTTCGGGCAACACCTCGAGCCTAAAATTCTCAGAGTTGGGTACTACTAGCCGACCATGGTCCGAGATGTCAATGAATATGTAAAGAAGAGTGAGTAATTCAAGAAGCACAAAAATGTCCACGACTCCATAATCTTTTTCACAATGGGGCATGGACATTCTTGGTCCTTTTCCTTAGGCTCATGGGCAGCTGAAGTTCCTAATCTTCATGGTAGGTTATTTAACCAAGTGGATATAAGCGGGTGCATTATCAAAGATCATTGGAGTCAACATACATAGGTTATTGAAGTGGAACATCCTAGCAACGTTTGGGATCCCACGATATGTTTTTACAAACAACGGGACGCAGTTCACGGATAAAAGCTTGAGAAACCTCTTTGAAGATTTAAATATTGGTCATCACTTTGCATCAGTAGAACATCCTTAAACTAACGAACAAGTAGAGGAAACATCCTTAGACTTACAGATAAGAGGCCGCCAATCGGGTTCTGTTGAGAAGGTTGAAGAGGAAACTTCAGGGATCTAAAGGATATTGAGTAAAATAACTCCCCCACATCCTATGCATATATCGAACTACACCCTATCCAACAATCGAAGAAACCCTATATATGCTTAATTACAAGACTGAGGTAGCCATCATAGTCAAAATATAAGAGTTCAGTTGAAGTACGATCCACCCCCTACTAAGGAAGGACAACATGCAAACTATCAAGGAATAATTAGCTATCTTAGAATAGAAAAGATGTTTTATCGCCCTCACAAGTAAGACCCCAGAATTTCCAACCAATCAATCTTGTATTGCACATGTCTTATTTTTTTAGGAAAGAACACCGGTGAAGGTAAACTCACTGCTTATTGGGAGAGTCCATATCAAATATGGGTTATCACAGCCAAATAAGCTTAAGCCTTCGAGGACCTACAACGCCACCAAGCTAAAATGATAATTCAGATAAGTTGTTTCTCCTTTGTATAATTTTAAGTAGCCATAACTTCAAAAATGTTGCCCTAATAAGCTAAATAATGAAATAAATTTTCAACTAATTGTATGAATTGTATTTTTTTTCTTTTAAGGAATGCTGAACACGAATAGACTAGGAAATTCTAAAGCAATGCAGACAACACCGCACCAGGCACACACCCATCTTGATAGTTATCCACTTCAATGTGCAGGCGGTGGAGCCCTAAACATGTCGACCTCAAACCATGTTTTCACTTGGGGAGGGAAGGGGAATAAAAATTAGGCCCCACATGATCCCTAGAGACATTGAAGACAAGAGTCGGTCTCCTCCCCGACCATTATGATCCTAGGGAAAAACCGTTTACGCCAAAATCAATGATGAAATAAAACCATTAGCGACGCAGAATGATGAACTAAAATCGTTTAAAAGTATAATGATGAAATAAAATCATTCGAAGAGATAAATGAATAAACAAAATCATTCGTGAAGGTAAATAAAGAAAAGTAATCATGCACATGAACAGACATAAGTAAAGTAAATCATAAATTCGGAGTATAACTCTTAATATCAATCAAGGGTATGAGAAAGCCACAATTTCATCAATTAAAATTATTACAATGAGAAATAATAATTACAAGAGATTTGGAGGCCAGTGCAACACTGACAACAAAAACAAGTAACGTTAACTAAATAACAAAATAAAATCAATCTTTGAAGGCCATTAACTTCTCTTCCACAACCTTCTTCCTTGCGTCAAGCTTCTCACAAGGAATCTCCACATTTGGACAAAATAACTCGATTTGACTCAAAACATTATCAAAAGAGACCAACATGACTTGAACACTCAGATTAATAGTTCCACGTTCTTTCTACAATTTATTCAATCATTTCTCAATTGCCTTTGCATCCTTAGAATAAGCCTCATTCTCTTTGGCTAGAGCGGTTTCCATGTTCATCATTGTCGGTATTGTGGTAATAAGGGATTCATGAACATTGCCCAAAATTTTCTTTACACTAGTCATGGAAACTAGAACTTCCTATGAACATTGCCCAAGTTATTCCTTTATCTCAACTAGTTCTTTCTAAAGAAGATCTTGTTCGAGTAAGGTGACGTCAAGTTGTTTCTTCAAACAATCATGTTCTCTCCTTAAAGTTTCTAGAGCCAAAACTTCTACCAATCTAGAAGCACCAATAGACATAAATGAAATTGCATAATGCAAATGGTATGACATTTCATTCATCACCTCCCTACTATCTTTTTCGCTCAACCATTGAAAATAAGTGCAATCTCCCTCGGGGAAGCAAGCTTACACTCCTTTGGCGGAGCGAGGCCCGATGGCAAGAAGAAACTGCAACATAGAAAATGAGGGTGGAATGCATTGAGTTCCCCATATGGCCACTCGATCATGCTCGGGCATAAACGATTTTCATTTGTTCAAGATCAGCTCACCATGGACTGAATCATTACCCATATCCGTCTTCTAGGAACCTTTGCTATCGATCGATCCACAACGTGATTACCCAATCTTTCATTGGATTTTTTTCTATGGGTATTGGAGGACAGTTTACTCTAATTCACTACACCTTCTCGCACTGGACCCTATGATGTTTTTGTGTTTGCTCAAAAGTTATGGGTGTTATTCTCCCCCAAGGCCGCCTCTTTCTCCAGTCCAACCGCATCCACATTGTGACACGTGGGAGGGATGATAGGGTATTCTTCGTTAGTTCTCTCTTCCTTTTGATAATTTCATGAATAACACACATGTTATCTGCAAAATAAAAGGGAAAAAACGATTAAAATGAATAATAAGGAAATAGTAAAGATATATTTAAGGTTGGATTCCTCTACTCATCAAAGATCTCCCTCATTTATTTCCTATTGTCTGCTTATACTAGTAATTTTGTTTTAACGTATCACCTTTTCTACTTAGACAAGCCCTTCTGTGAAGGACCTACTCCCTCCATAAAAACAATGCTCTCCCAGAAAGCAACAAGACCAACCTTCAAGTCCTCTTCTTATGATGATAATTCTTTTGACTCAAACACACATTTGTTCAGAGTCTCCAAGAAATGGTTATATTTCCAGTTCTTGGGGAATCTATTCACCCACCTCTCCAGCTTCACAATATGGGGCAAGACGGATAACACTTTGGAAGAACACAAACGACTTGAATGAGCCTCTCAGATTTATGAGACAACTAAATTATATTGATCCTTGAAGTTTTTGAAAGTGATTGTAAAAACGCCAAACATTATCTTTGCTTGACGGGAAAAAAAATAAAACCTTTCTCCTGCTCCACCTTGGCATAAATATGTTGCACATAAAATAAATTAAAGAAGTAATTCAAAGTGGGTACCTTGTTCTCGTACTCACATCTGTATTGGAACACCTTTATATGTTCCCATCATCGGGTGCAACTATGATGGAGTCTAAATCCCATCCTAGAGAACATGAACTCATAAAGAGGCAACGAACATCCAACAAAGACGACCAATGTCCTAGTGAGCATTTTTCCAACCTGCGTGCCTTAATAAATACATATGTCGTTCCCAGAATATCCATTTTGACCTAGGGATATTGATCTGCATTGGGCAGAAGTTTAAGATCTTGTTGTCCCCTACGAACCATCCCCTCATCACTTTCAACAAAATAAAATCAATATCATGAGTTCTAGAGAGTTCCCGAGTTTCGAGATATCACTTAACCTCTTCATCGCTATGTTTCCAAC